AAAAAAAAAAAAAAAAAATCAAGTGGGCATGGATCACCTGAGGTCAGGAATTAGCCTGTAATCCCAGCTACTCTGGAGGCTGAGGCAGGAGACTCTATGGAACCCAGGGGGCCAAGGTTGCAGTGAGCCAAGATCATGTCACTGCACTCCAGCCTCGGCAGAAGAGTGAAACTCCGTCTCAAAAAAATAAAAAATATAAATAAACAAGTAACCTCTGAGAAAGCGCCTCCGAAGGCAGAGCTAAGCATTCTGGGTTCGTTCCTCATCACCCGGAGTCCTAACCTGGTCCCTTTGTCCCTCTCTCTAGCAATGGCCAATGTACATGGTGGACTATGCCGGCCTGAACGTGCAAATCCCAGGACCTCTTAATTACTAGACCTCAGTACTGAATCAGGACCTCACTCAGAAAGACTAAAGGAAATGTAATTTATGTACAAAGTGTATATTCGGATATGTATCGATGCCTTTTAGTTTTTCCAATGATTTTTACACTATATTCCTGCCACCAAGGCCTTTTTAAATAAGTAAAAAAAGAAAAAAAAAAAAAAAAAAAAGAAAGCGTTGCCTTTACTTTACGGTTCCTGTTTCGTGTTCTCTAGTGGATCTCGGCTGCAGCTGTCACTGGGGACGGGGTCGGGAAACGCAGCTCAGGTGGCCTGCCAAGGCCCTCCTTCCTCGTCACAGCAGAGGTAGCGTCCGGGAAGACCTCAGACCTCTCTGTGCTCCTGGGAGTGTGTGACCTCAAGAAGAAAAGCCACAGAAAGAAAAAGTACCACAGGGCCAGGCATGGTGGCTCATGCCTGTAATCCCAGCACTTTGGGAGGTCGAGGCAGGCAGATTGCTCGAGGTCAGGAGTTCAACCTCATTGGCCTGTAATCCCAATGCCTTGGGAGGCCAAGGTGAAAGGATTGCTTGAGGCCAGGAGTTCGAGACCAGCCTAGGCAACATAGTTGCCCTTTCTCTAGAAAATTTTAAATATGGCCGGATGTGATATTTAAGGGCCAACGGGAGGTGGAGGTTGGGAGGTGGAGGTTGCAGTGAGCCGACACCCTGTTGCCTGTAATCCCAGCACTCTGGGAGGTGGAGGCGGGTGGATCACCTGAGGTCAGGAGTTTGAGACCAGCCTGGGCAACATAGGGAGACCCTGTCTCTATAAAAAATACAAACATTAGGCCGGGCACAGTGGCTCACACCTGTAATCCCAGCACTTTGGGAGGCTGAGGCAGGCAGATCACCTGAGGTCAGGAGTTCAAGACCAGCCTGGCCAACATGGTGAAACCTCGTCTCTACTAAAACTACAAAAATTAGCTGGGTGTGTTGGTAGGCGCCTGTAATCCCAGCTACTCGGGAAGCTGAAGCAGGAGAATCGCTTGAACTCGGGAGGCGGAGGCTGCAGTGAGCTGAGACCACACTATTGCACTCCAGCCTGGACATCAGGAATGAAACTCTGTCTCAAACACACACACACGCACACACACACACGCACACACACATTAGCCAGGCGTGGTGGTGCACACCCTTGGAGTTGAGCTACTCGGGAGGCTGAGGCAAGAGAATTGCTTGAACCCAAGAGGTACAGACTGCAGTGAGCTGAGATCGCACCTCTGCACTCCAGCCTAGGCAACAGTGCAAGATTTCATTTAAAAAAAAAAAAAGGTGGGGGGTGGGGGGTTTGAAGGCTGAGCACAGTGGCTTATACCTGTAATCCCAGCACCTTGGCCAAAGCATGGAGATCACCTGAGGTCGGGAGTTCAAGACCAGCCTGACCAACGTGGGGAAACCCCCATCTCTGCTAAAAGTACAAAATTAGCTGGTCGTGGTGGCGCATGCCTGTAATCCCAGCTGCTCAGGAGGCTGAGGCAGGAGAACTGCTTGAACTCGGGAAGCGGAGGTTGCAGTGAGCCGAGATCATGCTACTGCACTCCAGCCTGGTGTCTGGCGACAGAACAAGACTCTGTCTAAAAAAAAAAAAAAGAGGAGAAGGGGCTTTGGGATAGGACAGTTTTTCTTTTTCAGAGGCAGGGTCTTTCTGTGTCCCCAAGCTGGAATGCAGTAGCACAATCATAGCTTCCTGCAGCCTCAAACTCCTGGACTTACGCAATCCTCCTGCCTCTCCTCCAGAGTATCTGGGGCTACAGGTGTGAGCCGCCACACCCGGCCAATTTTTTATTTTTTGTAGAAATGGGGTCTCACCATGTTGCCCAGGCTGGCTTCAAACTCCTGGGCTCAAGCCATCCTCCTGCCCCAGCCTCCCAAAGTGCTGGGGTGACAGGCGTGAGCCAGCACGCCCAGCCTGGGATGACTCTGGATAGAGTTCTGGGTACTTGATAAGCCAAGTGGCGGGTCCCAGCTATGTCTCGGAAAGACCACTCTGGGGGCAGGTGGGAAGCTGAAGGAAGGGATAAGACTAAAGGCAGAAAGACAAGTCACAAGAGCGTGGCAGGCATCCAAGTACCTGCTGACAACACATGTTTACTGAGCCCTGCCCTTCTGGCTGGGAGACCAAGCAACTGAGTGTCCTGACTGGGGAGGCGGCCGCCGGGGAGCACAAAACAGAGTAAGGCTGGTGCGGTGGCTCAGGCCTGTAATCCCAGTGCTTTGGGAGGCCAAGGTAGGAGGATCGCTTGAGGCCAGGAGTTTAAGACCAGCCTCAACAACATAGTGGAACCCTTTCTCTAAAAAATTTTAATTAGCTGGGCATGGAGGTGTGGGCCTGTGTTCCCAGCTACTCGGGAGGCTGAGGCAGGAGGATCGCTTGAGCCCAGGTGTTTGACACTGCAGTGAGCCGTGATTGCACCACTGCTGTTGAGCATGGGCAGCAGAGCAAGACCGTTCCTCTGCAAAAACAAGGCAGGAGGACCTCACCTAGTGCAGAAAGTAGGAGGAGTCCTTGAAGCTGAGGCTTGAAGAGCAAGTGAGGCTTTGGGAGGACAAAGATGAGAGTGCTGGGGTGGCTCCATGTTTAGGACGAGAGCGGGCTGGGCGCAGTGGCTCACGCCTGTAAGCCCAGCGCTTTCGGAGGCAGAGGCGGGCAGATCACCTGAGGTCAGGAGTTTGAGACCAGCCTGATCAACATGGCGAAACCCCGTCTCTAATAAAAATACAAAATTAGCCAGGCATGGTGGCGCACACCTGTGATCCCAGCTACTCGGGAGGCTGAGGCAGGAGAATCTCTTGAACCCAGGAGGCGGAGGTTGCAGTGAGCCGAGATCGCACCATTGCACTCCAGCCTGGGCAACAAGAGCGAAACTCCGTCTCAAAAAAAAAAAAAAGAGAGAGGAGAGATGGCAGTGGTTTGGGCCAGGTCGAAAAAATAACAAGAGGGCCAGCCAATCAGATGGACGAGGGTTTCCGGGGAGTCAGGGGTCAGGGTGACCCCAGGATCTGTCTCTAACCATCCACCCAGGGCCCAGAAAGAGGCCTGTGGCTTGGAAGGACTGAGTTCTGAGTCAGCCGAGGAAACGGTCTAAGCAGTCCCGGGCTTCTGCCAGCCCTGGGGTCAGTCCCATGCTCAGAGCTGGGAGGAAGGCCCCATCCCAGCCTTGCAGACTAGGCTTCCTCCTGGAAAGACGCTGGAAATCAGTGCCTGGCACAGCCACTCCTCTCTCGGCTGGTGCAAACCCCCCACCCAGTCAGCTGCCAGCCTTGCCCTCCTCCCTTCCCGCTCCTAGTGGCTCCCAGAGCCACCAGGCGCCTCCACGCCACCCTTGGGCCCCTGCCCTGGGCCAGGCCCACTGTTTCCACTCCAGGATGGGGGCAGCGGTGACCTCCCAGGCTGGCCGCCACCCTCCAAGCAGAAACTGCCTATGAAGTCAAGATGATCTGAAGGTCCTGGCAGCTGCCACCTTAAACCCTCACATCCCGTAACCCATCCCCCACAATCTGATCCTGTGACTCTGGATTTAAAATCTGTTTTGCTTTCCTTGCACCAAGTGCAAGCATCCAGGCGCGGCGTTCCGGGAGCCTCTCGGGGTGTCGGGGTCACCAGCCTCCTGTCCCACCGTTCTCGTCCCCGGGGCCGGCCCACTTGGCGCCCCCTCCTGCCCGCCACCGCTCCCTGGCGCCTTACGGTCGTCTAGACCCGCCGCCCCCGCTCCTCGGCTCAGATCCGCGACCAGAGCCGGAAGTGGCTTCTGCTTGACCGCGCGGCGAGGCTGAGACGGTGCCCGCGGGCACGGCCGTCCCGTGCCCAGAGAGGCGCGGAGCCTGGGGGCAGGGCGGGCCCGGGAAACCCGATCCTCCTCCATCCGCGCGGAGGCCCACCAGGCTCCCCATCTGTTCCCTTTCAGGCTCACTGCAGATGGCGCGCAATTAAGTGGGTGGGTGCAGCGAACCCTCCTCTCCTGCCTGCTTCCCTGAAAGCAGAGGATTGAGCCAGTGGGCGCCAACCTGGGCAACACAGGGAGACCCTATGTCTTAAAGAAATGACAGATGGGGTGCGCTGGCTCACACCTGTAATCCCGGCACTGCGGGAGGCCGAGGCTGTGGGATCATGAGATCAGGAGTTCCAGACCATCCTGGCTAACACAGTGAAACCCCCGTCTCTACTAAAAATACAAAGAATTAGCTGGGTGTGGTGACAGGCACCTGCAGTTCCAGCTACTCAGGAGGCTGAGGCAGGAGAATCGATTGAACCTGGGAGGCGGAGGTTGCAGTGAGCTGAGATCAGGCCATTGCACTCCAGCCTGAGCGAGCGAGCGAGACTCCATCTCCAAAAACAACAATAACAATGAAAAAGGAAAAAGAAAGGGCAGAAGCCGGGCGCGGTGGCTCAAGCCTGTAATCCCAGCACTGTGGGAGGCCGAGGCGGGTGGATCACGAGGTCAAGAGAT